TAGAAAAATTAAAGGATAATGCCAATGACAAACAAGATTGTTTTTTCTTATGATCATCATTGGATACTAAAATTTGTCTTTTCTAAAATAAGAATTGGGACAGCAAGATGGTTCAGTGGGTAAGAGTGCTTGCCATGGAAGCCTGACAACCTGCCTTTCAATCTCTGGAGGCCACAGTGAAAGGTCTTACACACATGAGCCATGGCACAAGTCTGCACTCACAGACACTATTAACAAAGTACATTCCAACAAAGGCAATCGACCAGATGGAATTAGGCTACTGTCTGAAAGCATGCTGGTAAGAAGAAGCCAATTTGGATATAACATTTTGCAATCAGCTGGCATTTAGATAAAAGCCTGCCTCTCGGAGAGAGTTCACAAAGTATTCAGGGGTTAATCTAACATTGCAGAAGAAATACTACTGAAAAATATTTTTTTTTCATTTTGGATAAGTCTGTAAACTACAGCTTTGTTATAGGAAAATGCTTATAATGGTTGCTGTAATTATTCAGCTGTGGATAAAAAATTGTGAAAATAAATGCTTTTGAATAAAGTGGTGTGCCAAACCTGGACAAAATTTAATATGACAGCTTGACTAAAAGTAGTGCTGCCTAAAGTCTATTTTTAAAAGATTTGTATGCATGCGTGTATGCATATGTACCTATATAAGTGTGTACATACATGTGTGGGGTGTGCGCACTGTGTTCTCAATCTTTCTGCCTATTTCTTCAAGGCAAAACCTCATCCCTGAACCTGGGGCTCTGTTTCCTCTGTTGGGCTGGAAGACCACAACCCCAGTGACTCTTCTAGCTTGTTAGGTGGGCACTGGAAACTGAAATCTGTCCTTGTGAGTTTTGAGCAAGTGCTTTTAACCGGAGCCATCTCTCTATAGTCTCGTGGTGTGTATGTGTGTGTGTCTGTCTGTCTGTCTGTCTGCATGTGTGTGTGTACACCTGCCCATACCAGTTCATGTGAGGGGAGGATGCTCAGGACCTTTCTCATTACTCTCTATCTTACTCCACTGAGACAAGGTCTCTCGTAGAACTGGATGCTTACTTCCAGGGCTAGGCAGCAAGCTGTCAGTATCCACTTATCTCTGCCCCTCCAATACTGGGGTTACAAATATGCGTGTGCATCCAGTTTTGTGTGTGTGTGATGTGGATTTGAACTCAGGTCCTCCTACTCACACAGAATATGCTCTCTCTTATCCAGCGCTACCTCCCTGACCCCTACTTTTAATGTTTCCTTGAGAAATTTAATTCTGGGGCATAGATTCAATTATACATGATTGTTTGAATTAGGGTTGAGTATGCAGCCACCTGTGAGCTGGAGATGGGAAAGGGCTTACTCTAGAAGGATTCTCAACCTGTGGGTCATGACCCCATTAGATGTTGAGTAACCCTTTCACAGGGGTCACCTCAGACCATTGGGAAAAAACATATATACAATTCATAACAATAGCAAAATTACAATTATGAAGTAGCAACAAAAATAATTTTATGGCTGGGGGTCAACACAACATGAGCAACTGTATTGAAGGGTCACAGCATTAGGAAGATTGAGAACCACTGTTCTAGAAGATAAGGTTTATTGAGCAGTTACTCTAGAGCTGTAGAATTCAAGCCCATTCTAAAATCTCTATGAAATAGCAAAAGCTCCTCTAGAAGATGGGAAGCCTTTCTCCAGCCAGTTAGCTATGTGAGATTGGCCTGGAGTCAGAAACATGGAACTCCTACTTCCTCCCTTGGAAAAAGCATCAAAATCACCTGGGAATTGGTAAAGATCTTATCTCAAGTCCTTCCCACACTTACAAAACAAGGCATCTCCATGGATAGATGATGCTCTCAGACACACATCTCTAGGAACCACTATTGAAATGCTCTCACTAGGCAGAGGTGTAGCTCAGAGGTAGAAGGCGTGTGCAGCATGTATCAGACTCTGGTTTGGTCTCCAGCTCTGCATTTAAAAACGGTATAATGTTCACAATGTATTAATGAAGTCTCTGGACCCAGATTCCAACCAAGAGGATGGAGTCCTTTTCTCTGGCAACTGGCAGTAGAATACAGTCTAAGGAAGCCTTCACCTGGTGTTCCAAGCTAGGCCTTTAACATTTTACATAAGCTGTATTTACACAAGAAACCCTTAACCCCCAATGGCTGAGAAAGAAAGGCAGCTCCAAATCTGGGACCTGACTAAGGCCCACATGGTTGGTACAACCAGATAGACACATGATCTTATAAAATGCCAGCACCAACTGTGACTGGTGTGAGATGAAACAAGACAACTCCGTAAGTTCATCTAAGCACAGAAAAATGGAAACCATGGAACGCTAAGTGTCCCAGCTACTATGAGGGACTGTAGCTTCTTCACAAAGTGTAGCTTTAGCCAAGCTCTAATCTTAGAGATGATTACACAAGCACTCCACAAGATTTTCTCACAGACTGTATACAACAGTGTTCCCATAAATTGTATTGCTCAATGAGAATAAGTATACATCTTTGACCAGGTCTCTATTCTTTTGTTTTAGAGATAAGGTTTTACTACGTAACCTAGCTGGCCTAGTATTTCCTGATCCCCCACCTCCAGACAGGAGCTCCTGCTTCTTTGGACCCTAAACCAAACACCAAATCCTAATACCTTCTGGCTGAGATACCAGCCAGGTATGCCCTTGGTGTGCACTTTCCCTCCTAGTATGAACATTAACCACAAGTGTGTTTCAGAACCCATCTGACTGAAAGACATCGAAACCATGTTGTCTTCCCTGACAAACATTTTTGATTTACAGAGTGACTTTGTACTCAAGGATGTACCAAATTTTGTTCTAAGCTGTATTGCTACATGACATTTTAACAAAGGCTTGTTAGAATCTGCAAATAGCCTGCAGACAAATAGAGAAGAAAAACACTTTCATGTCTAAGACAATGCCTCACAGCTACTGGAACTCATCAAGACAGGGTAAACTTAAAATAAGCAATCTCAAATCAACTTCTACCACTTCATGTCTATAGTTTATTTCTTTTTGTTTGTTTGCTTGCTTTTTTTATTTGAATTACAAACAAGATTGATTTACATGACAATCCCAGTTCCATTCTCCCTCCCTTCCTCCCCTACCACCCCCCAACTAAAACCCTACCAATCATATATCCTTTCTTCTAATCTAACCTGACTCAACCTTTCTGCTCCCTCATGACCTCTGCATTCTTCCTTTTCTTCCCTTCTCATTCTCGTAGCTCCCTCACCCCTCTTCCCATGCTCTCAATTTGCTCAGGGGATCGTGACCCTTCTCCAGGGCACAAAGTTTGTCTCTCTTAGGGTCCTCCTTGTTTACTAGTTTCTCTGGCAGTGTGGATTGTAGGCTGGTAATCCCTTACTCTATGTCTAAAATCCACATGAGTGAGTACATATCATGTTTGTCTTTTTGTGATTGGGTTACCTCGCTCAGAATGGTTTCTTCGAGTTCCATCCATTTTCCTGCAAATTTCAGGATTCCATTGTTTTTTTCTGCTGAGTAGTACTCCATTGTATAAACCTCAAATCAACTTCTGCCACTGCATGTCTATAGTTTATTTCTTTATCCTTGTTTGGCAATTTGAACTTCCAGGAGAGCAGATATTTGCCATAAGCAAAAACCACAGCTAAGCTATTATTTGCCTTATAATTGAAGTTCTCACCAAGGCAGACTGTGTGTATGTGCATAGCTTTCCATTTGCACAGTCACTATTTGGTGGTGGAGGGGTGGGGGTGACACAGGTCTTACTATGTAGTCCATGCCGATTTCCTATCTTCCTCAGCCTCTCAAGTGCTATGACTATAGGCATGCACCAGACTCACCATCATACATTTGTTATAAAACTACTGCAGCTCCAAAGGACTTTGCTTGCTCTCCTCAGCTGCCAGTACTGTAACTTCTATCAATGTTGATTATAGGAAAAGAGGGAAAACTGTGTAAGCATGGAAAAATGACTCAAAGAGTAGGAAGAAGGACTGGAGCTGGACAGCTCTGAGATCCTGGGTAATCGTAACAGTAGAATTTACAATGGACTCACTAATTTCCAATTTTATGTTACACTACATCTTCCCCTCCAAAATTAACTAAAGAAAGAGATAACTGCATTTCTAAAAACACTGGAGGCTAAACCTCTAAGAACAGAATAACACTATCTCAGAAGCCTCTTGTCTAGGCCCCTGTTACATTTTGAAAGGTGTAGTGTTACAAGTGTATCTGTCTAAACTACTTTAAAGATACTTATAAGTAATTTTGTAGCTTAGTTGAAGGATACTCTCCTCCCCTTTCTGTGAAGAAATGGGAAAATAGTAGAGCATAACACACTTTCCCATTCCTCAGTAACATTTTTGCCATTTGTTTTCCTTCTCCTTACTCTGTTTATATGCATCTCTTTTCCCTTGACTTTAGTTGCAGATATTGCAACTAAACATTTCTGCCTATAACTACAAAACAAAGCAAAGCCTCCAAAAGCCAGTCTCCTACATGCAAGCTAACTTGGGCTTGTCTTGCTGTAATTAGATTCAATTGTGAGTTATGTCCTCCTCCCAATTAGGGAGTCCATGGTCTCCTTATTGGTGATTCTAAGTTTGATTATCTGGTTAAGGGAGCGCCTTACTTCCTTTTCTAATACTGAAACTGCAGATATACCCATACCTGTTTGAGTGTATACTAACTTTTCATGTTGAACCTGGAAGCCCCTCTTAGTGGTGACTTGGAAGGCAAATGAAATAGAAGAACACAAGCAAGAGCACAGATGTATGTTCACCTAGCTTGAGCTTTGTATGCAAATGACTGCATGAAAACTCCTAAAAGAACTGTAAATAAACGTGTGCTCAAGTGTTCGAAGGGTGAAGTAAACTCAATTTTTTTAAAAAAATAAGGTTTTAATAGGTGGGTGTAAAATTATAAGTAGTAGGTTCCCTGCACGAACCTTTCCACATTTCTGTATTCTTGAAAGTTTTCACACACACACAAAGATTAATTTAAAGCTATGATGGTGGAGCACTCATTTAATCCCAGCATTTAGGCGGATCTCGTAGTTCGGGGCTAGCCTAGTCTTCCAGAACAGCACAGCAGGAAATCCTGTCTCAAAAACAAACAAACAAACAAACAAAAACGGGAGAGAGGAGAAGAAGATTACATTTTTAAAAAGCAGTCCCTACAACATACACAAAGCTGGATTGTGGAGCAGGCAGCAGCTGAGGAATTAATACAAAGCAATA